AAGTAGAGCGCCATCAGCGACAGGAGCTGGTCCGTGTCCTTGGCGCGCTGACGCATTTCTTTGGCGACGCGTCGGTTCTCGCGCTTCCCGACGATCGCCATGGCGCAAAGCTGCTGGTAGAAGAGACCATCTTGGGACGTGGTCGCGGCGAACCAAGGCAGCGTACTGTACGAATCGTCTGGCATGTCGAGGAAGCTCTTGGCCTCGACGACGTCGTTGGGCGCCACCGACTGTCCCAGCGGCGCCGTCAAGTCGACCTCTACAACGAGTATGAGCAAGCCATTGGATAGGCAGAGCCCGTACCGCGGCCTTGGGTCGCATTGAAGAGCCCATCGAGCGTCATCTGCTGCTCGGTGAGGTCGCGTGCCATGTCGAGGAGCGACTCGGCGGGCAAGGACGCATTCCACGAGAGATCGTACGTGCGCAACTTGATCACAAGCCTACGACGCATGAGCCATGATGCATGCCATCGTCAGCGCACCGCAGCGGCACGGCGACGCTCGTTATCTCGGCCACCATCGACGCCGTTCGACTCTGCCTCCTCACAGCATCGCACCCGGCACCGTATCCGGACGAGCTGCCTCTACGGTTGCGATTGGCCGCGTTTGATTGGCAATTGATTTTCATTTTCAGCAAACAATCGGCGACGCCTTTCCCGCCCACATGGTCCTCCACGCACTCGTCTCCTCTTTCAAACTCCGTCCCTGAAGAAGGCGGAGGCAACCCCGCGGATGCTAGCGCGACGTTAGTACTAGGACTAGGATGAGTACGTAGCATGCTGCCTTGACGACGTCCTGACAAGTACACGACTGTACGTCCTTGATAAAGAGTCTGTGTGCCCAGGGGCACTGCGTCTGAAAGGGCTGATAGAGGGGCGCGTCCACGATCTCCGCCGGGCTGGCGACGAGAAAGCCCGTCGCTGCCAGCGCAATCAGGGACTGTATGCACAAGGGTCAATATACAGTTTATTGACCATTGATAGGGGTCAATATACAGTTTATTGACCATTGATAGTATGCATTAGCAGCCCATATACTGCTATTATACTATAGTACGTTAGTTCATATTTGTCATGCAGACGGAGATGACTTGACGTGCGCGAAGGTTTTGTATCGGAATACGATTGCAACACCGACTTTAGTGCTTGGACAACGAGTGCCGGTTCGAGTCCGCCGATGGCGTGCGATTAACGCAGCATTTAGCCAAGCACACGCTTTGGACGTATTGGCTGCTGCTGTCGGACCCGTCTTGCGGGGTGGAGGAGACAGTCCCCGCTTCTCGGTCGTGCAGAAGCCTCGGCAACTTGAACTGCGTGTTGATTGCCTGAAAACTGTTTCATTTTGACCAATCAGAAACGCGTTCCTTCGCCCGAGGCTAACGGCGTCAGCATGGTCGGGCCCTGGCTGTGCCACCCCGGTCACTACCACAGCTTCCAGTCGTCCGAGGCGCCGCACGCGCTTAAGGAGAGGCCGTCGTACTTGACTTCGCTCGGCCTCTCGCGCACGACGCCCAAGTCGCCGAGCGTCCACTGCCTCATCTGCCATCGCGTCCTCGACGCCAACCTCTGCACGTGCTTGGCATGCGGCCTCGCCGTGCACCGCGCGTGCTTGTCCAAGACGCAGCGAACAAGCTCCATGAAGCGCGAAGACCGCGTGATTCCTGTGTGCACCTCGTACCTCGCGCGCACGATGGCCCCGTCGACGCCGGAAGCGCACCCGACGCCAGCGTCGCCGCAGCTCCAGCTTCTCGAAGAGCTGTCCCTCGACCCACTGCACATGGTGTCGCCGCGAACGCCCCAAGCTGCTGCCGCGAGCTCCAACGTCGCGCTCCGGTACATTCGCCGGTACGCGCCGTACGTCGCCGGCGGCGTCCTCGTCGGTGGCGCCGCGGTCATGGGGATGCCCATGATGGCGCTCACAGGCCTCGGCGTCGGCCTCTCCGCCTCTACCGCGCAGGGGTCCTTAGCGTGGTCGAGCCGCGCGTCCAGCGAGGTGCGTGTGCTTGGTGTCCATCGACCATCTGCAGATTGTGTGCGTAGCGCACCAAGGCAGCGATGGACGTCGACTGGGCCCGGCGCATCTGTTGGGAGCTCAAGCAAAAGACCGAGATTGGCGATAGCTCGTACAAGCAAGACGCAGCGCTTCTGCGCAGGTAGACGCACGCTCGCTAGCTCATTTCCACAGCGAAACCCCAGGTACCACAACGCGACCGACGCGCCACCAACGACGAACGACGTGTACATCATGCTTTTCGGTCTCTGTGCGTCGACGGACGAGCTCCTTGGGCGCGTCAACAGCGCGCTCTGCGATGCGTTTCGCAGCCGGCGCAAACTCCACCCGTGCGCATGACAATTGCGATATAGAAGTATACCATTTGTGCATTGGACTAGGTGTCTCAAGCAGACATTGGAAGACGCGCAAGTGTACGTCGGCCACGTCTTGGCCGTCACGATGAACACGTACCCTGCGCTCTCGACAACCGACGAGAGCATCATGGACGCCACCGAGGCGGTCGAAAAAATCGTCTACAGGTGCGCGCACTTCACATTCACACCGCTTTGCACATCGCGCGTAGTGATATCTACTCGACCGTCTTTACTGCCTTTCGCGACGAATACGCCGCGCACGACGCCACGTTGCGCGCCCGTGTGCGCGAGGTTCACGCTCGCGCATGTCAAACAAACGCCACAACCCTCGCTAGGTGCGGACTGTGCGGCCAGACATGTCGACCGAGAGGTACCTCTCGACGGGATCCTCAATCGAACGCATTGAGACGGCGGTCGCGCTCGACGTACGTCCGTCCTGTGGCCATGGACAGAGCCGAATGAAGCATCGTCTAGGCCCTGTCCTCGATGCAAGAGCTCAAGTACCCGCTCGGGAAGCTGCACGCGCTCAGCCGCAGCTTTCGCGCGCTTTGCAACGTGGCCGAAGCTCGGTTTGCCTGCGCGGCGAATGCCGATATACTCTTGCCCATGGTCATGGACCTCATCGTGTACGCGCCGACGACGGCATTCGTCGCGCACCTCGCGTTCGTGTCGACGCTGACGCGTGGCGGCGGACGCGGCGTCGACGGCTACGCGCTCACGACGTTTCATGTCGCGTTGCGCGCGCTGGCGTCGATCGACGTGGCGGTACAAACGATCAACTATCGCATGTGGCCTCATTCGGTCGATAGCCCACGAGCGATGCGGATGACGACGACGACACTGCAACGACAGACAATGACGATGAATTCTTTGATGCTATCGAAGGCTAAGCGCGGCAAATGGTGTTTTAATTTAACATCGCATGGACGACTCGAGTTGTCTGTCGACGTGTAGACTGCAAGTTTTTTCCGAAAAACGAAACGCCAACGCACCACCGCCGTCCATTATTGCCGTTTCGTGCGACCGCAACTGCGACTCCGTTCGTAGTCCTTATAGCTTGCACTCCCTGACAACCGCTTCGAGACGACAACACGTCAAGTGATCAAATGCACTAAGGTACAAATTATAGAGGGCCACTCTACTACGACTATGCAACGGGCGGGAGGAGCGCTGTGGTCGACTTGTATTGCGCATCGGGGCTCAGCATGAGGCGCTGGAACGCTGTCGGCTCCATGAGGTTGTTCTGAAGCGATACCGTGGCCGTCACCGCCGCCAAGGCGGCGGCACCGCGCTCGCCAATAAAATTATGGTCCAAGTCCAGCATGAGGCCGCGGCGGTGCGTCGCGCGGTCGGCAAGCGCCATGGCTCCGGCGTCGGAAATGCAGTTGCCTTGGAGGGCGACCGACTGGAGGCTCGGGCTCCTCTCCACGAGCTGTGCGATTCGGTGCGTGATCGGGTCGTGGAGGCCATCGCAATAAACGCGCGAGAGCTCAAGAGTGCACAGGTGCGGGTACGTCATCGTCTCGAGGCCGGTCAGTGCCCACTCGACGGCGTTGTTGGAGCTCATGTCCATATCGTCCATGACCACGTCGCCAAAGCCAAAGCGGTTGGCGCCCGAGAGCCGAAAATCGGCGAGGTTCGGAAACTGGTGCAACCAGCGCGGGCTCGTCGGCAAGCGGGCAGCGTGCAGCAAAAGCGACGTCACATGCTGCGGCACGGTCACCTGCGCGGCGCGGTTGGTTGCCGCCAAGGCCATGACCGACTGTGTGTCGAGGAACGTGCAGATCATTCGAAGCGCGCCGTCGTGGCCGTCGAGGAGGAAACTCGAGGTTGCCCTGTGGCGCTTGACGAGGCTGCTGGTCGGACTCGTCGGCGCCTTGCGCTTCTTGCTGACCTCGCTCTGCTGCGCGTAGAGCTTGATGATGAGCGCGTGGAGGCGCTTGCACAGCGTGCGCGGGTTGCGGTACTCATCCATCGAGTGGGCGCGGGAGTAGAGCGCGAGCTCGGCGCGGCGGGCGATGCCCGAGATACGCGCGTCGATCGCGCCGTACTTGGTCTTCAACACCATGAGGACGTGGAAGAGTACAAAGCGTCGCGCGGACGCGTCGGCGTCCGACTGCCACTTGAGGCGCAACGGGGCGTCGAGCGGCGATGCTTCCATGATGGCGACGCTTGTGAAATGAACCTTCTCGTTGCACTGCCACATACAACGCGTGCGTGGCCTGCCAAAGCGGCTGCACCGTTGGTTCAACATATGGTTTTGACAGCGTTCTGATTGGTGGATGAACATTGAATACGCGCACGTGATTGGTGGGTACGTGGACTGGCTTGACATGGAGACTGCCACGTGTAGAGGCTGCACGCCCTCTCCCAGCTCTCCCAGTGGCATACTGGGCGTTATATACTGCGTTGCTTTTGACAACGCAGCAGGTTAGTCGAGCTGCTGGGGAAGCACGTTCGGGGAAAAGGCACCGAGGACCGACCTCAACGCATACAAACAGCAAGTGTAGCGCAAAGGGTCTGCCCTGTCCGGGGCTGTGAAAGTGGGCTGCGTCTCGTCCCACGAGTACAAAAGCATTTTCGGACGAAACGGTTTGACATTAAAATGGACGGTCACCTGCGGCTTCGCTCGACCGTCCATTTCTGTATCACGTCGCTCTGCCTTCCTCTCGGCCATGCACTACGGACAACGCCCCGTCAGACCATTCGCCCTCGCTTCGCACGCCGCAGGACGCGAGGCGAGGAAGCTTGCGGCGCTGACTTCAATGGTATGATAGAATGCGACGCATCTCGACGGCTGAGCACACTTCTTGGCCACGTGAGAACCATAACACTGCACACTACTGCATGCACAACGTCGCGCAGCGGTCAATGGAGTAGCGTGGTACGACTGGCCAACTCGATCGACGAGGAAGGCCCTACTGGAGGATCGTTACCAGAAGGGCTCGGTGGACTTACAAGACGCCCTAGCATGGACTGAACACCTCGGTCGTCGCTGCCCACGGGTACACCCACCGTACGCGAGGTCGTCCTGCGTCCTTCTCGTTGTATTAGTGTAGAAAACGCGCGGGTCGGTTTGCCCGATAGCTCGATATGTTATCTGAGATCTGAGATTCGTGATATAGTAGCGTCTAAGACAGCCGCAATAAGAGGTCGACAGTAGGTCTGCAGTGTCTCGTAGTACGAATGTGAGTGTGCATAACACCGTGATACTACTGTCATTTGCGGTGGCTTGGAACAAAATAATATGTTCTTGTCTCAAAAGCGCGCATCGCTCAGCTTAATTGTCCATCACGACGATACAACTCGTAGCAAGGCTATAGATATCCATTGAATGGACTGGCTCGTCGCCACCTCAAAGTACCAAAGCTCGTTCGCGGGTTCGCGGGATCGTCTGAAACCAGCCTGAGACCTTGCAACTGGACGTTTGTAGCGCAGGGAATGCGGTACGCATGTACCTTGACTCAGACATGGGTCAATAATAAAGTATTATTGACCCATGACTCAGATTACCCTTGCGAGTGTACCACTGGGAGCGGAAGGTCGCAACATGTCGATCGCACGCGCAAGTAGTACTAAGAAGGGCCATGCAAGCGGGCGCGATTACATTGAGCGTTGAATACATCGTGTGGGCGTCACATACAGTGTAATCGCGGGGGTTGCATGCCTTTTGTGCAAGAGATGCGCGTACTGACACTGACACGACCGCCACCATAGCCTCGCCGATGCATGCAAGTACAATATAAGGACACGCGACAGCGGCTTCTACCGAGTTGGCAGGGAGCACTGTCGTCAGGCCTTGTAACATCGACCCGGCGAGCTTTCGAAGATCCAGTATCGCTCGGTCGAGAGATCACCGCCGACAGCCTACGATGCTGGCACCTGACGAGAACTTTGCCGGCCTCGAAAATGCGAAAGAGATTACCGACTGAGAACACTGCAGCGATGCATACTTGCTCGTGGTTCATTTTCCATTGCTCCTCGCAATACCCACATGTGGTCCCGCGCCCTGCTCCTCACTGCGACGTTGCTCGCT